TAACTGATCATGTGTTTATTGCTAGCTTTAGTATATGTGGCCAATGTGGGATATATATATCCCAACTTCATCAACATACAAATATCATAATTCACAAAAGATGTTTGTCTTGCTTCGTTCCAATTTAGATCTTACATAAATTAACCTTAAATATTTCTAAATGATCAAATATCAAAATTAATTATATGAATATTCGAATTTTAACGAATCAAACTAAATTAAAAAAAAAAAATAACAATTACCTAAAAATATTGTTCACAAAAGATATTGTCTTTCCAATTAAGATATTACACTAACCTTCAATTTTTAAATTTGTAGTCCAACACAGAAGAGACACAGAAGAGAGAAAAAGGGGCAGAGGCACTCATCAAATAATCTTTGTATTAGATTTCACTGCCTACAAATATTCCATCCAGCGTTTACTTGTTGACCAAAAGAAAACAAAAGCCAGCCATCTTCATAAATAATAACAACAAAATGTCATAATAATAATAATAATAATATTTATATAATTATTAATGCCCTATAAATATATATTATATCCTTGAAATATTATAAGTATATATTTCTATCCTAGAGACCCTAAAAGCTCTTGTACTGTGAAACATGCAACAACAAATATCTGTCTGAAACAAGAATTTTTATACTTTCTTCAATTCAACATCAAATTTATGTTATTTTGAACTGTAAAATAAATGGAGGGCTCAAGAGGTTTGCCACCTATTTATGATCATCATCAGCTTCAAATCTCCTTTTCTGCCCATAATCATCATCAAGAATTGGGTTTTGTACAGTTTGAGGATCATCACAATCAAGTCCTCAGCTTCCTTGGCGGCGACGAGGCTGTTAAGACAGCCGGCGGCTGTAATAATGGTTCTTTAGGGTTTAATAATCCAAATGGGCTTCTGAACACAACTTCTTGGAGTAACGACCAGGTATTTACTTAACTCTTTCTTTTTCTCTCTAATTATTACTTTTCGTTTTAATGATGATTATTGCTTTGAATTATTAATTATTGGTTGAGATTATAGCTAGCCAACTAATTTTATTAAGTTTCTATCGTTCTTGTTAATTTGTACTTGCTTCATTTCTAAGATCTTTCTGATTTCATTAATATATATATATATATATATATATATATATATATTTTGTGATTAAATAATATGTAATTAAATGGAGAAAATTTTGTTAGGTTGGGGAAGGAGCAGAAGCTTGCAAGGCTGTTAATCATGAGGATGATGAAAATTGCGGTGCTAATAACAATGTTAGCGAGAGTGCAACCAATTCATGGTATGAATTATTATATGATCATCACAAGATATATCTCTCTCTCTCCCACAGACAAATGAGTATTTATGAAACCCTAAAAGATATATTTTTATTAATTAATAAGATAGGGAAGAGGTGTTTATATGTTTATAGTGCATGACAGTAAATTTTGAGTGTGATGAACTATTGTGAGGTATGAGAAGGACTAGTGCTGCTTCCACTATATACATACATACATCTTTAATTTATTGCACTCAGATATATAATTATATATATATATATCAATTTTATTTCCCAATTTATGCTAGTTACTAGTTCTTGGCTTTAATTTTCTGTTTAATTAGTTTAATGTTGAATTAATATGTAAAACGAGATATTTGTCTGAATCACTCCTCTTATCTCTCTCTTTCTATTTGCTTTGTTTTTTTGGAATATAAATATTGTTTGCAGGTGGAGGAATTGTAATTCATCAGAGAAGAGCAAATTAAAGATAAGGAGAAAGCTAAGAGAGCCAAGATTTTGTTTTCAGACAAGGAGTGATGTGGATGTGCTTGATGATGGCTACAAATGGAGAAAATATGGTCAGAAAGTTGTCAAGAATAGCCTTCATCCTAGGTAATTTAATTCATTATATATAACCCTTTCATTAATTAATTAAGCTCCTCATCAAACAAAAGAATTTTACTACAGGATAATCCTCTATATTCCTAATTTTAGGTTTATTCTCTTCATGATAGTAATGAAAATCATGTTTTGTATAAGTTAATCAGTCCACCCTTCTTCCTACATCACACTTCCGGTATGTTTTCTATCTACTGCATAATTACACATTTCCACTGTTTTTGTTTTCCATTCTTAAGTATCTAGTGATCATGATTTTCATATATATCTTGATTTTCTGAAGTTGAAAGAATAGTTAGATATGCTGCTTAATTCTTAATTGAGTATGATCATCAGGACATTGTTTGATGTATTAATAATATATATCAAGTTCGACTTGTTCTATTTAATTAACATTCTAGGTCTTGAAATTTTCTTTCTTATATATTTGACGTACATTAGCCGATTGGCCAACTGAACTAGGCTCGATTGAATTTGATGTATTTTACAGAAGTTACTACAGATGCACATATAGCAACTGTCGAGTCAAGAAAAGAGTCGAGAGGCTGTCAGAAGATTGCCGGATGGTTATAACGACCTACGAAGGCCGACACAACCATTCTCCTTGTGACGATACTAACTCCTCTGATCACGAGTGTTTCACTTCATTCTAAGTTAAAATCACTACAATTGGGTCTTTTGTATGTACAACATTTTTATACTCCATGTAAAAATCTGTTCGTATGTGTATACGATTGAATTTGCTGTTTGTTGTGGCCCATGTTTGAATTCATGTTCTTTTGTTTGTTTACTGTTGCTGTGGCTCATGATTTTTATTCATGTTATTTTGTTTGTTTTACTTTTTATATGATGAAGATCATGAGTGCATGCATATAATCAGCTTTTCTTGGTCAAGATTGTGTGTTCACAGGCTTTAGGTGCTTGGGCAAATTAGTTAATTAGAAGTTGTTTTCCTTATATATTGTTGAAAACAAACTGTGTATAAGATTATAGCATGGAAGATGGAACAGTTGAGAAAATTATTGTCAATAGGGAGGAAATTAACAGGCTTTCATTAGCTCAGCAGCAAACAGGGCTGGCTATATATGCACAGGAATTTACATACCAACACCAAATTTAGATCACTGTTAATTCCATACTACAATCTAAAGATTAGTTTTTTTTTTGTGTCCTGATGAAGATAAAGTACCCAAAAATCAAGATTCAAAAGCCTGATTAATCTAAAGAGGTATGAAGCGAATAATACAATCCGAGCCCATCAATTTAACTCGTGAGCTGAGTTTATCATCCACTTTTAAGAAAGATTTCAACCATTATGGTATGTTCTCGATTTCCCAACGGTCAGCAGAAATTTCTGCCTGTTGCAAACATTGACAAAGAAACAGTTAGTATGCAATCCGTTTATGGAATGAGGAAGTAAAGGCAACCAAGAAAGCTGCTTCAATAGAGTGCAAGGTAAAATTTGGTCCATCTAACTTTCATTATATATATAATTTGAGAAAAACAAAGAGGTGCCTCTCGATTATAAGAACTTATGGAAAGTAGTAAAAGGCGAAATATGAAAGAAAATAATCTTCAGATAAGTTGGATGATTCTCACGAATTCTCTGTAACAATGAAAACAAAGACCCTTCAAATCCACTATGCCAATACATGCAAACATGTAAAAAACGAAAAACAAAAAATGGCCAAAACAGATATTTCTACAGTTCAGCCAAGGAAATTTATGTTCTTGAGCTTAAACTTAGGTCATTCACTCATTTGTTGAGAACATACCAAATCATTGACAAAGATCATCAATTCATAATAAGATTCTTATGTTATTATCATGCAAGAAGTTTTGTTTTAAACTTGTCAGTATTTCTCCAAACTCTGTACTAATTAATATACAGAAACTATAAAGAACAGATTCATTTCGACCAAAATACAGTCAGATTAATGATTCTGAACTGCAGGACATGATTAAACTTACTACACTTTCGTAATCAGAATCACAGCCGTGTAAAAGACAAATTAAATGCATTTGAGCTCAATTCATCAAACAGACAAGCCAAAGTTCAAAACTTTACTTTTTGTCTCTTCTTTTATTCTTCAGGACTCTTGTGTGTGTGACTTTGTGAAGAAAAATAAAATACACCAAAATTATCTAATTACTCGCATAATTCGTGTTAAGAGCTCAGTTCAAAACACGCAAGTTACATACACAAAAACAGGGTAATTACCATGGCAAGTTGGAACAATTAGCATCTAGGGTTTCCCCCAAAAACCATCACAATCACAATAGGTTCGATAAATACCTCAATCGTCGGAGAAATTAAAATCATCCCCGAATTTCTCAACCCAGAAACACTAATTTTTCGGCGCCTTCGACCGCGATCCCAGCCCCTTTCACGGATGCGAAAAAGGGGCCCAGCATCTTGCGGTAGTGGATGGGCCTTGCGAGCTCCTCCTGGGCGTCGATACGGACGCCGGAGATCCCGATTTCCCGGAGGCGGGCGGCGATCTTGTCGCCGACCCTCGAAGCCGTTGTGGAGTTCCAGTAGAGCTTCGAGCGTGGGAAGCGATTGAGTTTTGCTGTGTACTCCTTGGCGAACTCTTGCTCGGAGGACGAGGCCATTGCTATGATCGAGTGGCTGGTGGGACAGGTGACCTGCGCGGTGAATTTTCTGCAGGAGAGGACCAGACGGAGGGTGTGGGCGACCTGGGTTGCTGCCGGAGCCGCCATTGTGTGTGTCGATTTGGTTATGGCGGCGGGGATAAGGACGGCGCCCCTTGTGTGGGTGCGTGGGGCGCTCGCGCTACAGATAATATTGAAACGACAAAGCTATTTGTAGAATTTTTTTTGCACAACTTTCAATGACATGATTTGAATTGAGCGGTTGAGATGCAATAAATGTATGGTTAAAATTTAATTTATTAATATTTTTAAGTTTTAATTAAGTTGTCAATTAAACCAATGTTACAAATTATAATTGTGCATGTAGCATTGTCTTGATTAAAAATATTGTACATAATTGAGATGAAAATATTTTTTGAATTGGATAATAATTTTTTTATAATGAATAACTTACTACTTTTTTTGGTTGGAGATGGCCTCAAGATATCAATTCTCATATATATTATTATACGTGTGCACCAGATTAATATGTCAATCGCTAATATGACGGGAGATTAATATATTATACTTGTTAGGTATGATATTCCAATACCACAAGTATTTAACACGTTAAGTTGACATACAAATTCACAATGAATATAATATTGCCGTTTTACAAATATACTATATCTTTTGAAATATTTTGTAATAATACGTAAATAAAATTAAACATACATTTTCATAAATTAATCATAAACTTTAGAATAATGCATTTAAGACTCATTTACTAAATAAATCACGAATTAATCATTTATAAATTTTAAATATTAGCATATTATAATTAAAAAAAAATCATAAATATAAAAATAAAAGGAAATTTATAGATGAAAAGCAAAAGATTGGACCAAACAATAATCAAACTGAAATAACTAAATCATTTCAGGATCCAGCAAGAACGGATGCCCAACTTCTGGGCCCTGGCCCATAGCTGATTTAGGATGTTCTGGGTTAAAATATGAATAATCAAAACGTCCGGGGCCTAATAGAAAATTACGGCTTCCTTTTCACCTGCTGAGGAATCTGGTTTTGCGAGACTGGGGCACAGTCAAATGGCTCTCAATTCCAAGTTCATGCAGCTCTTAGGTACTTTGACTTTGAGCTATACTTATCGCGTTTCAATGTCAGTGGTTTATTTGCTTTGAAAATGTTTTTTCACAAGGTTACGATGTGTTGCTGGGCTCGATTGCTGTTTTTTATGTGTTTATGGCACCTTACACGAAGGTTGAAGAAAGCTTCAATGTTCAGGTACGAATTGATTTCTGATATTTTCTTGTTTCAGGATTTTGGGTCTCTAAAAGCTGTAGTCTTGGGAATATTACTATAAGTCGTTTTGTTGGAGTTTTTAAGAGCTCGTGTATATCAAAGCTGTTCTCTTTAAAGAGATTTAGTTTTTCATTCTATGATTGTTTTTTTTTTTCTGGGTCTTAATCGGCACTAAGAAAATTCAAATAATATTATCATTTTTTTCTATTGTTTAGGCAATGCACGACATTTTGTATTGGGGGCGCCACATAGAGAAGGTAAAAAGTGGATCTTTTTTGTCTATTAAGCATTGTGAACTGTTGATATTTCCCCCTTGTGTACCTACTTTACCGTGCTTTTGTTTTATTTGTCACTTTTAGTATGATCACCTGGATTTTCCTGGAGTAGTTCCTCGGACATTTATTGGTGAGTCTTTCATGTTGTTTTCTTGTATGCTAAACATGATATAGTCCTGAAAGATCTATTCATCAAGTAGTTAAATGAAAACTCAAAATTCCGTATACTTCATTCTGCGCCTAGAAATGTCTGGTGCCCGTTGATTGTGCCAGTGTTGATTATACATGGACATTGCTTATCTTAAATGGTAGTTCACACACTTTGTATAAACTATATGATCTTTGTGTATTTTTCACCTTTTGAAATTGATATATGCCAAGATCTTATTTACGACCTTTATGCTATGATACATGATATTAGGGTACTTGATATGTTTTTGTTTCTTCTCAGTTCTGACGTAAGACTTCTAATTGTAGGGGCGCTGATTGTTTCAGCATTAGCTTCTCCATTCGTGCTTATGGCAAGTTTACTGCAGTTGCCGAAGATATATAGTCTTTATGCAGGTACCATGTTTTCATTAGAGATGTGCACGTTTGTTTCTATGTTAGAATTTGGATTCTCTGCAAAATATGTTTGAATTGACTGGTGTACAACCATAGTACTTCATGTTGCGATAAAATTTTATGCATATGCGGAATTAAATACTGTCAGTGAATATTATATAATTTGCTTTTCTCCAGTTCGTTTGATGTTAGGTTGTATCATCTTGTCCACACTGCGATTCTTCCGGATTCAGGTACAAACTTGATACATACTTTTATATCACCCATTTTTTTCCTTATTGTCTCGTGTATATGTAATGATGAATCGTGCTTTAATGACCAATGGCATACCTATGTCATTCATAATTTACCGATTTACCTGATAATACAACATATTGCTTTATATCCTCGAAGTTGGTTATTCTAGAAGGAAAATTGAAAGCTTTTATACATTGATTATATCGTGTCATTTTTCTACGTTTTGGATGCTTTACTTGCCTGTTTGGTTTCCTAGATATTTTCAGTTTCTTGCCCTTTTTATTTTTGGTCACTGATTAGTTTTTTGTATATATTTATATCTGTTTTTCGGACTTTTTCTTTATATATTTTAAGGAAGCTTCATGCTTTGTCCTATTAATTTCTGATGATGCTTGAAAAACTTTTAATGTGATTTCTTATGTCTGATGACCACACTCACAGAATTTACTGACTTCAAAGTTTGTGTTCGTGCTGCCCTTATTTAATGTCACTTTATGGTCATTGACGCAAAGTTGCCCAAAATTTAAGCAGATCAGGAAGAACTTTGGATCTCAAGTTGAAGCATTTTTTGTAATATTGACTGCCATTCAGTTTCACATGTTGTTCTACTGCACGCGCCCCCTTCCTAACATATTGGCATTTGGTCTTGGTAAGATACTGTTAGTGACTTAGTGTGGAAGCGTCCTTGTTGCACTTTCGATCATAGAAGTGGTTTTTTATCTTTTTCGTTCTCCTAATAACGTCAGATTTCTATTCTATCTCTTACGTTACTGCTCCTACATTTCCTTTTATTGATAGCAATTTGTATATCTACCTATATAGCTTCAATTTGAATAGATCTTCGACTGAACATAAAAAGGCTGCAGACATTTCCTTTTATATCTCATGTTACCTTGATTTGCTGCTTGTAGTAAACATGGCCTATGGGTATTGGTTTAAGCGAAGTTTATATGCAGCATTAAATTCTTTGGTACGTTATATCCCACTCTTAATAGATAAACAAATATACTGAGAGAAGAATTATTCGTCCATTCTTGCATCCTTTTCACTTTACAATTACCAAATGATCTGCGTTTTTATTGGTCAGGTTTTGGCCACCACTATCTTCAGATGTGACATCTTGTTACTCGCTGCGCCTCTGGGCCTAGAGCTATTGCTGGTATGTGAGTTTAATCATAGATTACTTGCTTTGAATTTGTTGTTCATCTCTATATCTAGCTTGTTCAGGAGAACTTTTCTTTTCTTGTCATTTGTTGTTCATCTCTATATCTAGCTTCTTTTTTTGTTGTTTGTCTTTTATCATCTGCTTGGTCCGCAAATCCTATTTAGCCATTTCGTAATTGATACTTATATAAACATATCCAATGACTTAGCATGTTAGCATATAAATTACACTGGAGGTGCTTTATATTTTCCTGTAGTAAACAAATATTATGTACTTCATTTAGCTACTTTGAAATATTAGGCTCATTTAAAATCACATATATATTGGTGGAAAAGAAATATTATGTTCTTAGATGATATTTTGCTCGTGAGAAAGTTGTTTAATGGCTATCGGCCTGTTTAAAGTATTATGCTTTCTGATCTTCAGATGTGTATTATGTTTCTAAATTCTAATGTGAGGATGCTCGCTATAAGCTGATAGTTTGTTCATTTCTCTTAACCAAGTCTTCTTAATCAACCACAGTCTAGATCAATTTCTTTGCCGAAAGCTGTATTATCTTGCGGGATAGCTGCTTTGTTTAGCATAGGTTTGTGTCCCGACCGTACTATTTGTACATCTTTTATGCCTTCAGATATTGTTATCTCATGATATCAATTATTAAGATCACATATTACAGGTCTTACAGTGCTCGTAGATTCAATCCCATGGAGGAGATTGTTATGGCCTGAGTTTGAGGTTTTTTGGTTCAACTCGGTTTTGAACAAGAGTTCTGAATGGGGTGTATCCTTCCCTTTTTTTTTTTTTACATATTTCAACATGTATTGTTCTGGGAGATGCTTAATATATCGTTCTCTGTTTTCATGATTTATCTTATATAAGTGTATCTAAAATATCTTTTTGTTTTTGTTCGTTAGATTTTTCCTTTTTTGTTTTGTGTATTGTTTCTTTTTTCTTCCTTAATATATCTTCTTTAGACCCATGCTTTTCACTGGTACTTCACATCAGCACTTCCCCGTTCATTGCTGGCAGCATATCCGCTGTTTGCGGTGAGTTTAACACCGATTCTAACGGTGCATAGTTGATTCGTAAAGTTTTGCGAAGAGTGGTAACTGTCTGAAGTAGTTTTAAATGTCGAACAATGCACCTGAAACACTCTCTTTTCAATTGAAAGAACCAAATACTATTTTTTTTAAGGCATATTGCATGTAGAAATTAATTTTTGTTTTCATAAGGTTGCAAATTACTGTCTAGTGCTCCACCTCATCTCTTTATTTCTGAGCAGTAAGTGTAGCCCCCTTGTTTTATGTAAAATATAAAAAGTGCAAGGCTGTCTTAATATATATATATATATATATATATATATATATATATATATTTCTGAAGATATCGGTTCTTTAATTGTTTTGTATGTTAGAGATATCTGACTCTGTTGATCAAGAAAGCTACAATTTTAGTTCTACCCTGAAAATTTTAAATACAAGAAACCTAATTTTTGTTAAAGTTTATTCTACCTAATTTCAATCTGCTATACTATTGTTGCAGCTTGGTGTTTTCCTTGATAGAAGGGTTCTGCTCTATATCATTCCTGTTTTCTCATTTGTTTTGCTTTATTCTAAACTTCCACACAAGGTATGGTTTCAGAGCATAAAACCGAGCAGCATTTAACTTCTTGATTGACTTCTTTTACAACTTCAGTGACCTGGATTTCCTGCTGTGTAGGAACTCCGTTTCATTATTAGTTCTCTTCCTATGTTTAACTTCTCAGCTGCTGTTGCTGCTAGCAGAATGTATGAAAATTCTTCAATTAGTGTTCTAATAGTTGTAAAAGTATATTAGAAGTCATCTTTTATGCCAAGTATATCTTTTATGCACTATTCGAAATTTTATTGTCTTCAGTTAAGTTTCTTTGCATATATTTTTCCAGCTACAACAATAGGAAGAAGGGTTTATGGAAATATGTTTATGTTGCCATGTTGGGGTTGTTCTTGATCAGGTTAAAACCATGTTATTATT